ATGATTTATTTTTATTTTACAGAATAAACAATAGAGAAAAGGAATTTGTTATCTTAAGTCAAGTCCTAGATATTTCATTTCATTTGTGTTTTCTTTAAATCCATAGTTATTTATGATAAAGTTATGGTTAAACTGTAAAATATACATACTGTATGTTAATATCGTCCAATTTATTGAAAACCGAGATTTTCCAAGCTCTAATATTGATCTCGTTTCTGTCTTTTCCACTTCTCCAGATTCTGGTCTGAACACTTGTCTTGTATTTTCATTTTTGATTATTAGAAAGTACTGCTCAAGAAATCTAATACAGCTTCTCTCTGTTTGTCTGACTGACACCTGTCATCAGCTCTGAAAAACTCAGAGGTCATACCAAATCTTGAATAGTGTGAACATGGCCGAAAATAGCAGAACCTAGGTATTGCATGGATGTTGTTTTTCTATATACAGTATATATTAAATTACAATATATGTATCAATATATATATATATATATATGCATGTATATATATATGATGCTGGTCCACTCTGTGTTCCCTCCTTAAAGCAGAGACAGATGAATGTAGACTTAGCAGGAACATTTGTGGTCGTGGCGAGTGTGAGAACAGCCTGAACGGCCACATCTGTCACTGTCACCCCGGCTACCATCTGAACCCGCAGAGGAACATCTGTGAGGGTAAGAGACTATGGTAGAGACGGGGGTGCGAGGAGGTGCAGGGATGGGACGCTGATGAGAAATTTCTTGTGCATGCTGGCAAACACAGGTCACTCTCATTCTGACATTTTATTTGTTTGCTTTATTGTTCGTTTCAAGAAAACATTTTTTCTCATTGATTGATATGATTAACGGGAAGGATAGCACCTTCAATATGAAAGTTAATCACAATTATTTTTGTTTGTTTTATCAATCAAAAATAGATAAATGACAAGAAGGATAAATTAAAAGATTTTCTAATCAGTAGCTTAGTTTCTCATTTTTATCTGAACCCAACCTCATCCTCGTCTTATGTCATTTTTGTCTTGACCATTAAAGCCAAATCTTTTGACATTAGAAACGATCATATTGCTATTATTGTTCCTCAACATAAATGCACAGTTTTTAATAATTTCAGAATTGATTATGTGGGATTTAACAGCTTTAAATGAAGCTTTTCAACTGTATTTAGCTTCAATCAAGCAGCACACATCAAGCAGGTCAGGTTACTCAACAAGAGGCGTTCTACTCACGCTGCCAAAACAGTTGTATGTCTTCAGTGGCTCTGGAGGGAGCTTTTCAAAGTTTGAGAAAATATTTTGGCTAGGGCTTGGAGACAAAAAGTTTGTAGCAGAAAGCCTCCATTACTACCTGGGGCTGTGGAGTTCGGAACATTTGGGTATTTAACTAGTTTGGGGGCGGGTCTAAAGAAAGATGCTATCGACTTGCATCATGTTGGAAAATGTAGGATTCAGTCTTTAAATTTGTCTCTTTTTTTAAAATCCAATACTGACTAAGGAAACACTATTCTTATTTAAAGAGATTTTATCTTGATTTTAAATGTTTTATTGATGTGTTAATTAAAATGACTTCTTTTCCATCATGTGCATTTACATCACTCCTCTCTCATGTCTTCCAGATGATAATGAATGTGAGTCAGAGCCGTGCGGCCACGGCAGAGGCCACTGCGTCAACATAGAGGGCAGCTACAAATGCCTCTGTCGTCAGGGCTATAAACACATGGTGCAGCATGGCAGACTTAAGTGCATAGGTGCGTTCAGTGGGGTTAATTAATTTTTTTTTAAAAATCAGTTATCAAAACCTGCATTGGCCTCATGTTTACTGTTTTGCAGATGTGAACGAGTGTTCTAAGCAGCTCATCTGTGGTGTTGGAGGCCAGTGTATAAACCTGCCTGGTTCTTATAAATGTGAATGTCACAGCGGGTTTAGGAGCAAGTCACATCGTCATCCAGCCTGTGAAGGTACAAAGATGCTGATTATTATGACACCATGGATGTTAGTGTGCTGTGACACACTAACACTGACAAAACACTTATTATGTGTGTGCATCTGTCACACGCTTACATCTGTGCCCTGCATGTGTCTGTGTAAATACAAACAAGGGTATGTTCAACTTTTTCTCCCTCGTTCCAGATATAAATGAGTGTTTGAATCCCAACACCTGTCCCAATGAGCAGTGTGAGAACACACCGGGCTCCTATGAGTGTCTTCCTTGTTTGCCTGGTCACGAGGCCCGAGCCGGCACCTGCTATGGTGAGTTTTACCCTTTTGTTATTATGACTCTAAAAATTCAAGTTAACCACCTCCCCTTGTAAAAAGAGAGTCCTGTCCGAATTATGGTATCTTGATGTTATTCTACTAAACTGTGAAAAGTGTGTGATTTCTGTGCATCCACTCAGCAACGGAGACCCAAAAAATGGCAAATAAACTTTTTACATATTAGTATAGTGCATGATATTTCAGTCAGCTTATTAGTATTGAGTTTTACTTATCAAGGAATATGCTTTTGCATCATGATGGATTTTTTTTGATTGAGCCAATAGTGTGCTCTCAGATTAACATACTGTAGAG